TTTGGGTCTAGGATTGGTGAAGGACTATGAAGGGTGTTGGTACTGGTTGTAGCTGTAGTTAGTGGAGTAGTCGTAGTAAATGTTGTGGTTGTCATGGTGGCAGTGGGAGGTGAAGTTCCAGTGATTGTCGTGACAACAGCGGTAGGTGACGTTTCAGTGTTTGTTGTGACCGGTTGCTCAGCGTTGGGTGCTGGCGATTGATGGTTGGCTTCATTTGAGCCATTATGCTGAAGATTTTCTCCATTGAGACTTCTCACGAAATTCTTCAGAATTGACCTATTTTCCTCTAAGGTCGGGGCTGAGTTAATATTCCAAGCAGTGCATTGAGCGTTAAGCGCATTAATCCATGTTACCGTGCTCGGTACATTCTCAAGAGCATAAATTGGCATATTATTCAATACGAAGACTGGGGGCTTCGAGGGGGGGGTGGGGATATCGACTTAAGAAAAAAAAGGTGAAAGGTGTTGGCGATCCTAAAACTGTATGATTTGTTCTAAAAAAAAAATTATTATATGTGTGTAATATGTCCCTATACAAAATTATAAAATTGCTTAATCTATAAAAAAAATTTTTATTTGAGCGTATTGCACCAGACGCATTGTCGGGCCACAATCCCTATTTTCCCATACCCAATTACTTTCCCTGAAAATCTGCTTATCGTTTGATTTTGGTGTTAGGAGGTAATTACAAGTGGAAAGTTAATATGGGATTGCAGGATTGTTTTGTCATGGAACCACCCTATTCTATTGGACACCATACATAAAAAGTTTGGAATAACCAGCAAACTCTTGTCTCATAATGCACTGTCCCTATACAGCGACAATAAGTCAACGATGAACCTCCAAGGCGTTTGGTTTCCCGGATACCTTATGGTGAGTGGAGGAGTAGCGAACCCCGGTTGAAACCTTTTTTGGGTTTCAAAAACGCAATTCAATCCTATATCTTGGTGTTCAAAGGGGGCAGCACCAAAAAAAAAAACAAAAAATAAACAATTTATTGATTTGGGGAGAGGCCTCCGAGTTGATGGTAGGGGAACTTTTTTTTTTTTTTTTTTTTTATTTATTTTTTTTTTTATTGTTTGAGCAAGTAATAAGGAGGGTGAAGAAAAGGGACGTTGATACCTTGGTGGCTTTGAATTTATTGACTAGTCACATTCCATTCCATGTTCCCCGACGACGCATCGCGGGCTACCAGTGTCACCTTGCTGGCATTCCTACTTTTTTTTTTTTTTAAATACCAGGGGTATGCACTAGTCCCGCGGATGAGTGATACGATGGTTTTTTTTTTTTTTATCCATCCCATCACCACCCACGGGTGCCATGCTAATGGGCCGACAAGGGGGGGTTGTACCCGTCTTAAGCTGGATTGGAGTTTGGAAGCCGCTTAATTAAATATTTTCCAGGTGAGGTAACAAGGTGTGATAGGTATAAAGGTACTTGCTCATGATGTTTTTTTTTTTTTTTACATATATATATATATATATATATTTAAAACATACAATATACATATATACATACATTTTTTTTTTTTTTACAAAAGGGTATACCATTCAACTCGAATTAAGTTATTATTTTGTTCTAAAGACTTAGACCTCAAAACCATCAATCATCTATGTGATGTCATCACATCATCTGAAATGTGACAGTGCATCTGAGAGACATGTTGACTACTCGCCCTAGTTCCATTTCGGGTTGAGTAACCCAACTAAATATTGACAGAGTCCCTACTTGGTTCCAGACTGGATAAGGTGATAAGGTGACCTATCTTGAATCGTAGAAAGCAGACTTTCGTTTCAAATGAAATTAACTTTACGATTTCCATGAATATATATATATTTTTTTTTTATAACATTCATCAAAATCGTCATAAATGTACCTACACTAAGAAATGCATCGATGCTTGTGGCTTGCGACAATGGTCGGCTCAAACGCTTTTGTAAATTCGCTGCAATTAATTAAAAAAAAAATTATTATTTATTTTGTTAATTTAAAGTGAAATGTTGTTCAAATGATTCCCTAGTATTTCCACGAGGCGCAAAAAGGTTCTGGCATTGAAATGGATTCCATCTTTTCTTCCCGAAGGGTAATATTTTGCTTCAAAATATCGATGAGCGCTGTGAGTTGGAATATCCAAACGTAGTAAATGTGTGGAGTGAGACTGTAAAGTAGTCAAGTATTTGTTGAAGTGATCAATGTGAGCGAGTGCGTTGTTGTTCTGTGCAAGGCGTGGAAAGTTAGGCAAGGCTAGGATTAATAACAGTTTGGGTGTGTGAAGTTTCTTAACTAATTTCAATAAGGACGAAAATTGATTCTTCATATGCATCAATGGCGTACCCCGAATTATGTCATTCGTGCCTAAGCAAATAAGAATAATTGAATTCGGCGGTATCGACGAATGCGTTGATTTATAATGTTTTTTGTAATCAGCTATCGTCGCGCCGGAAAAGCAAAATGATTTTTCTAAAGCTATTAATGATCTTTGTTCCTGCAGAAAGTTGGCATATCTACAAAATTGGGAGTCACCCATTAAACTAATTGCATACATTTGTAATTCTGATTCTGTTTGTACCTTGGATGCTAATAATTCGAAGGGGTGGGGGGGGGGGGTTTATGATGTGTTGATGCGCGGGGAGAGGGATTAATAGAATACTAATGGGGGTGAAAAATGCAAAATAATTAGAACCATGTAGTGAAAGCCTAACTTATGTATATAGCACATTAAATAATAGGCCTAACCGATAACAAAGTTAAACAATAAACTTATAAATCTAATTAGCCTACTGTATTACTCATCATCAAGTACGCTCTAGCGTACCGCAAAAAGGAAAGTTCTGTACAACTACTAACTGCGGGGAAAAAATTTAATTAGGCTACTGTGCTGTAACTAAGAATAATGCAAACACTGTAACTAATTTTCAAACAATGCAAACTAATTTATGAAAATTTATTAATTAAGGCAGGCTTAACAATCCAGTAGGCCTAACTGTAAAAAAAAACAAAGCGCTAGAACATGAAAGAGGACTGCCAGCAACAATTAATCTAAATCAATGTTTGTGTGAATTGAGGGGGGGGGGGTGATTGTCCCGAGTAATGATAGTAAATTGTTACTACCTTTTATGTATCGCATGCATTACTCAGGTACTGAATCAAATCAGTAAAACTTATTACATCTTGCGGTCAACCCACCCACTGCCTAATTCAACCTAAATTGATCTAGCAATCACTGTACTAAATCTAGCAAATTGTGTAAAAAATGGGTGTAAATTTCACTATTAAAAATAAACTGGGCTGCTAAGATTAAGAATAAGGAACAATGACCTGATTATCTGGTAGGAATTACTTAAGGTTAACTGCTTAAGATCGACTAGGCCTAGGCCTACTTAGGACTAAATTGCTTGAAACCACCACAAAAAATCACTATACACAAAAGGAATTACATAAAATCACTGTGCATGGGGACAAATACCTCTTCAGTATGTAAAAGCCAAGGGCTATTGGAATTAAATACTTAGAATTCAATCTGAACACACTGCAGCTACTTAACCTAACAAACTTACTTAGACTGAATATACTGAAAATAGGCCTAACTAACCTTGGAGAAAAAAGATTGGGAGTTATAATTATCTGAAAAATAAATAAAAGGTACGTTACTTACTATTAAATTATTGAAATGTGCTTCGCAGCTCAACAGGATGCTTCACATGGGCACTCATTTGGGTTAAGTAGTCCCACGTCGCACTAATTACACGCATATTCGTCACATTCAGCTATTTATGAAATGAAAATTTATTGTAACACGCCTTGACATTTGGAACCCCAACTTAATAAATAAACGAATTCCCAGAAGCTAAATTTAATACCTTGATGAGTCAACTTGCTCACACGAGTTCACGCCGGAAATTCCAAACTCGATCACGTGATCTGACCTTGCACGATTGCACAATGGAATTCATGTTCTAAACCATTACTGAACACCTTAAATTACCTTCCCCGAAAATAAAAAATCGTTTTCAAAGTGAAAATTTTGGAATTTGAGACTTATTCAAAGCTTGACCAGCCGAACAGGATCTCGCGAGAGCTACTATGCAGGCTATGAGGTTACGTAACGCTCTGCTACCAACTGCGGGGTCTTGACTGGAATAAACCCAGCCAGATCCACACTTAATGAAAAACGTGCTGATTCCACTTCCCCATAGCACTCACGAAAACCCTGCCCAGCATAAGCCAGCTTTGATAGGTCTCAAATAAATAGATTAACTACATCTTATTCAACTCTAACTACTCCTCGCCATTGTGAAACGCCTGCAGCAACTTGCCCTAAACATGATATCGATAACCGTAAAGTTTAATTTAGTTACTTGAATTAATTTATTGTTGGTTGATCTTGGTCTAATTTAGAAAAAGATATGATTCCCCTTACCCCCTTTATCCCCCAAAAGATTAATTAACTACTTAGACATTATGGGTACCTTACTAACTGTAGAGTAGACCCAGGAGTCCTTCTCGGTGTGTGGTACAAGCAAGACAAACCTGGTTGCCGGCGGTTGGTCCTTTCCGGCCGGAGCGCTAGTGTGGCTCCGAGTAGAACTGTCTGCTCGCCTTTGGATCAGCTGATGGGGTTGACTCTTACCTTATACCATAATTGTTGGCGGTGATGTGGGTTATCCCCACAGTTTTTAAAGTCAAACCAACATGAATATGTCCGACTCTTGGTGAAGAAAGTAAAGATTTGCCAATTTAAAATTTACTAAACACATGTTTTTGAAGTGCTTTTTTTTCCAAACTTTAAATTTTTGGGAGAGTTGCTAGCCTAGTGGTTGGCATCTCGGGCCACAATATAAGGGACGCGAATTCAATCTCAGGCATATCATCAAATATTTGAGGGATGGACAGCTTTCCTTCAAAGGAGTATGGCTTCATAACATGCTCCACTGACATAGACAACAAAAACTCTTTATGTTTAAACTTTTGAATAAGCTGGTCAAAAGCAAGAACCTATACCTCTATCACTCGCTCTGGTCGGCAGATATACTTGCTCCGTTGCTTGTGTGGATGGAGCTTGGCTCTCCGTCGAGTCTTGTGCAGTGTCATAAGCTGAGTCTCCAGTGCGTTCCGTGGCCCGCCTCGGCTGTAGTCGTCTCCCCACTGGAGGTAGAAGAAGGCGTTCTGGAAACTGTAGGAGCCTGTGTTCCGGGTATTGATCCGCTTACCCATCCACCTACGGAAAATATAACCTTTGATCAATTTTTTTTAAAATTGAAAGTTTAAACTTTTTAATATCCTTTCTCTTTATGTAAAACATGAAAACTGTAACTTGCGTTTCTGGCATGTGGGGCAGTGACCTTTTTGGGGTAATATGTGTAAAAAATATAACACTAAGAAGTATACATGGCGATGTTTGAATTTCACTCCATGTTATGCCCCTACCATAAAACACATCCTGAAGGAACGGTGGGAGAAAGAAGACCTAGAGGAAGACCAAGAACTAGATATCTGATCCAGGAAGACATGAGACTTTTGGGAATTGAAGAACAGGATACTTAGGATAGAGGCAGATGGAGACGTTGTGATGCTGAGTCCAAGTACCGACTGGGGTACAAATGGCCATGGCAGTAAGTTATGCCAGAGTGCCCCAAAATACAGGCTTACAATCCACACAATTTCCTCCACTAACAGTTGTAGTACCCTATGTGATTATTTTAAAACAGCCTCTACTCTTTTCAACTGGCTAGATCCGCCCATGGTTCCTGTTGTAAGTTTTTTTGTCCACATATTGTAAATATTTGTAAATACAACGGCAATAGTGGGTGTGTTACCAGCCTAGTGGTTACCGTCTCAAACTTTCAACAAAAAAGTAAGTTTGGTATAATTCAAGCTCTTGAATCTGGGATGGCTGAAAATATTAAGTTATCTTCAAGCTGAAGTTAAGATGGAGAATTCATCATACTTTGAGGTTTATTTTTACTTACTCAATAAACTGTTGTAGCGTATCGTTGTGTCTCGGTACAATAAACTCGTCCAAGTCTATCAGCGCAATGTGGCTGAAGTGATACATGGTTCTGTACAGACAGTCATTGAGAGCCGCAAACAATCCTTCGGTTCTGATCTCGGTCTGCGAGGGAATGTCCAGCTTCCAGGGAAGAACCGATACTCTTCCTGGAAACAACAGATTATTATCATCCTACTGGAACATTTAATTACAAATTTTAACATTTTGTTTGCTTTGAAATCAATCTACTACGTTATGAAGAGTGTTCACAAAGCATAATTTGATATTTCTCCCCTTACAAGAGAGCTTTATCAGAAATTATATAATAAGGTTACAGTAAAAACATTTATTTTGTGTGTACCAACTACTTGGAAATATTTTCTTAAGTAAATTAGTTGGGTCCATTTCTTCTTCTATGATGTAAGTGTGGCCACGTAGTGTGCTTTCCTCCAAAAACTAATATAAAGTGAGGATGATATATATGTGTGTCTGTCTGTCAGTGTGTTCGTTCTGGGCAAATGCAAAAACTACCAAACCAACTGGGCTGAAATCCTGCACAAAGATAGATGATGAACATGTGCCTTTAAATTTCTAAATTCCAAAAGGTGTGGAGCTTTTAGAAGTAAAATATTAACTAGGTTTATTGGCAACGAACAGTTTCTTACATTTTAATTAAGTTATTAATTTTGTTCCGCCATTTGGTTAAACAAAAGAGGATTTTATTAGAAAAAAATGGTACAGTTGAGAATACCTCTTACAAACAAACCCTGTTAGGGATTATGGGTAATGAAAGCAGAGTACCGGTACCAATAATGATAAATGATTCAATCACTCAGCTTGGATTAAAGTTGTGGCAGTATTTAAACCCTTTTCCTTACCACCCCCCTTGAACCCATCCTAAACCCTTGTGTTTTTCTTTTTGAATGAATGAAAATACCTTCTAAACATAAGACAATAATTACTGGTAGCCTACATAATAAAAAAATTTTAAAATATAAAAAATATGAAATATAAATTTGTTTAAAAAACATTATAATAAAATTATAATACCTAGACTACATTTTACAACAAGTTGGAAATAGGTGTATTTCCTTTCCTTAACTTTTTACTAATATTTATGTATCTTTATCTTTAGTACAATATCGTTAAAATTGTTTACATCTTCCCACACTTATTACTACTGTCTAGTGTCTACTATCCCCATAGTTAACTAACTCCTAAAATTCCCAACTCCTTAATATTCACTCTACTCTGCCCTTATCTATAAAACTTTTTCATCTAAAAATTTAATGTCCTTTCCTTTACCAAAACCTTTTTCCTACACTTTCTCAGCTGTCAACCTTTTGCCCAACCCTCTATATTTATTTGCTAGTTCTATTCTCTGGACACTTCTACTACGCCTTTTCCATCTCCTCTACTCCCTTGCTATCTGACCTCCCACTCTTTTCTTTACATTTCAGACATTTCCTCTCTCCCTACCTCTACTCCTGTAGTCCTCTAGTATACAGCTGACTTGGTCTGAGCATGTGTGGTTGTAGAAGAAGAAGTGAGAAACTCCTAGTAGAGTGTTGAGCTCTATGAACTCTGTCAGCTTCAAGGTCTGGAAAATGGAAACCAAAAAAAAATCTTTTGTGAAATATGAGGTTTACAAAGCAACATACTGCTATTTGACCTATTGAACTGTGAGAACTTTTCAGTGATATGGTTATGTCTTGTATTTAATGGTTTTTCATTTTTATGAACACAAATATAAAATGTATTTAAAACAAGTTTTTGTAAAGGGACTCAGTAAGCAACAAACAGCAAAATACAAGGATTTAGGTGCAACGCACAGTGAATCAACCCAACAATTTTTACCCAAGCTATAAAACATAATTTTGGATGGATCTCTCACGTATCTCTACCAAACGGACAGGTGAACCCCCTTATGAGTAGCATTTGAGACTTACCAAGATGGGATTCAAATCCACAATCTTTAACTGAGGAACAAAGCCATAGGCTGATAGGCTGCATTGCCATTGGTTGGACTTCTCTGTCTATTGCACTATCAACACTGGTCGACATGTAAAAGCATTGTATGTTTCCTTCAAGGTTAAATACCATTAACAGTTTTAGGAGTATCATCTATTTTAACTTTTCATTTTATGATGGTTAAAACTTGAGCGAGTTGTTTTTAGTTATTGGGCTTTTCATTAATTATCCTAGGTAAAAAATACCCCATTACAGCAAACCTGCAGACTAAGTGAATTTCCATTTGCCTGATTGGATTTTCACGAAATTATCACCCTAAACACCCGTTCCCATTGTCCAATCATGCTGGTACACAAACTAGTGTGAATAAATAATGTAGGTGTACACGTTTGATACCAAATTTCATCAATTATGAAGCTGTGGTGATTTTGGAATCTGGGAACTTTAACTTGAAAACATATCGGTCCTGGGTCCAGGTCTTACCATATTGAGACCTACAGTAATAGCTTATTCCCTATTATTAAGGGAAATTTGTTCAAACAGCTGGTTTAATCCAAACAAAGCATCTCAATCCATTCCACTCATATTCAGCAAAAAATCAACATTATGTCTTTGTTGTGATGATTTAATAAATTGATGGAGAGAGATGGTGCGTAACGGAATATTGAACAATTTCCAAAAGAGCTATAAACACTATAGTCTTACCTGGCTGTAGTTGTAGTGAAGAGGTTTGATACACACGGCTAGTCTTCCTGTCGTGTTGGTAGCAATGGGAGGCTGGTGGACCAGTAACAAATTAGTAGGCGGAACTCGCAGTCTGGCCACCACAGAAACCGAAACCGGCGTCGTTTGGTTGGAGCGGAGCGGACAGAGTACGAAACAAGCAGAGTATTTGAGATTCCAGTTTTCTCTTATGACCTGCAAAATCCAAGATTTAGCTTATTTTTCTATTTAAACAAATGTGGTAATGAAAAATTTGTGTAAATCAAGGTTAGTACGATTTACTGTTAAACTAAAAACTGATTTAAATGTTGCAATATTGTAAACCTTGATTGTTCTTGGTCCTCATGCTGCTGCTTTATGGATGAAATAAAGTTAAGCCAAATCTTTGACTATCAATCAATAGTCAATGGCCAAATCCAATGAATGTGCTAAGCTTTACTGAAAGGAATTTTAAATCTAAACCCTAAGAAGGATGCTGGATTGAGGATGAAGACTTAGCAACAAGAAGAAATTGCTTCAATCACTGCAATACTGTAGAGTTTTGTTCAATTCTACAATTTTAATATTGTAGAGTACATTATAAGGAGGTAGAACAACTAACTCACTTAAAAACGAGTTCTAGACTGTTGATCGCACACAAAAAGCACAAAAAACACATTCAACTTTGATAACATATAGGCCAATTTACTAACAGTTTGTCAACTCAAAACGACGGACAGAAGGGATAAAATCATCAAGTCAAAAGGAATTACACAAGATTTGTCAAGTCAATACGTCATGAGTTCTGTCAGCAACTTCAAAAAGAGTTTTCAACTATTTGTACTCCCAAGTTCTATTCACTCACCCGCACTTTCCCTGGAACGGAGGCAGAGATTCCAGATGAGTTCCCGGAGTACCAAAGGCGACACCAAACTCTCTCCGGGCCCCGAGTCTTGGTGGCAGCAATCACTCTCACACTCCTCTGACCACGGCGCTCATAGTACGCAGAGAACACAAAGAACTTAAACCTATAACAACAATTTTATACTTTCAAAATGTTGCATTCAATTCACTACTTTTTTTGTTGTTATTTCATTTGTTTCAACTATTTGAGGTTGTATATTTGACTTTTGGATTGCAAAGTAGATTTTCCATGTATATGAAAGCCGCAGCCTATTTTTTACTAAACAAGAACATAGTATGAGTCACTCACAGAGATTTTCTGGTTTTTGTTACTGAGTGGTTGGGACATAAAAGATGCTATAGCTTACAGATAAGCCTCCCTATCAGTTTGAAAAGGTTAAAAAGTTGCCGTTTTCTTCAGAAATCAGTCATTTTACATCAGTACACTCTGATATTGACTCAATTTTACTATGTTCAACAATTTTATGGGAAAACAGACTCCTCTTGTCTTAGGTAATTTTATGTTACTGTTTTCTTAGAAGCGGAGCGGAACACCATGTTAATCGCTTTTCCGCCCTCCGCTCTCGGTCCTCCGTGCTCCTCTTCCGAGTCTAGGAAAACCTTAGAACATGTCGGCCTTAGTCACTAACAAGACTAAAAGATTGCGCCACTCATTCTAAACTCACCTCCATTCATACTTGGCTTAAATACTTGGCTTCATTTGTGTTAAAAGTATTAAGTATTAAAGTTTCGGGTAAAAACTTAGCCCACCTGTCCTTTTAATAAAATGGCTGGTCTTATGGTCAGTAACAAAGATATTCAACACAGATTATAATTATTTTGTTTTCATATCTAGCTTAAAATATGCATCCAATTGTGCATCGGTTGTCTCAAAGAATTGATAACTCATTCAAAAATTTGTGACAACTTTAAAATGGGATAGAGTGCTTAGCTCTATCAAAAAAGTCAAAGGTTGTACGCAATAACGTTAACTATAGATTGAAAAGAAAATTACCATAAGCATTATAAAAACAAAATGTATCAATTAAACATCAGAGTTTAAACACTTTAATACATAAGTTAATACAAACCTTAGATGCTAGCATCCTGTAGTCCTTTAAAATTCTGAATTATTAATTGAATTTACATTTTCCCTTTGTTAAGATTTAATTAATAGATTTGCAGAAACCAATATGTCAAAAAATACATACAAAAAGGGGGAATTAAAGGGAATTTTGAGCTGGTGTGATTGGTAAAACTTTTTACCTGGTGCCTGGGACGGTTTGCCAGCTGCCTCCAGATGCAGTTAAGTTTCCAAGTGGCGGCAAAGGGGCATCGGGGGCAGAACTAGGGCCTATAGGGGGTACCTGCAAACCACATCTGTTATACACTGCCTTTAAAATTACCAAAGGCTAATACATATTGGGAATGTATTTAACACCTTTCTTTAAACATTATTTAAAGTCAAATACTGAGAAATATTGAGTTATACATATTAATAAATATTACTTCAGTAAAATATTATATTTATAAATAAGATTATACATGTTTGTTATAATTTACGCCAATAACATTCTCACAAAAGAACAACCATCTAAAAGTTTTCAAGGGGAAATTATTCAAACCCTGCAAATATTTGAAAATGTCAGGTTTACTAAAAAATAACTTTTTGATAGGGACCTCAAGCACCAAGTGGCATTTTGTATATTTCATCACAAGCTTTCAAATGAAAGCTACTGAAACCTCTCAAATCTTCATAGATAAACTAAGGGGCGCCCAGACTCTCTTACACTGAAGTTCGAGACGCTGACCACTCAGCCCAATTTCAAACCATTACCATGATTTTTGTTTACTCAAGTTGTCATACCTGCAGACGATGTAGATGCAGTGCCAGAGGGGCGGAGCCAGGCTCATCTGCTACAGGGACAGGCACCTGACCATGGTATACTAGGTAGTCCTCTGCACCCTGGAACACACCAGAAATTAATACTTTTGGGGATTTTCCATGTAGGGAATATTGGGGAATTTCTCATAAAGTGAATAAGCTATTACCGTAGTTCTCATTGCAAGACCTAAGGAAATATTTTAGTGAACCAGTATCCAGTCAAGCCTAAATACAGTATAGATATTCGCTCAGTCTAAAGGTTTGATGCACTCTGGGGTATTTTTACCCTATATGATAGTTTTTATGATTTCACGAAGAGTTGATTTTGCATTTTCTTTCACTTTTCAAATGAGCTTGGTTAAAACATTTATGTATTTATCAGAAATCAGTAACTGACAAATTATTGACAGTAGCACCAACTGTTGATGGCATAATTTAAATAATTTGTTATCATGAAACTGGCTACAATTTAATGGAATGTATAGATGAAAATCTATAGTCAACGCAAGTAAAGTGCACAAAGTCAAACACTACTGTTGTTAATGCTGAAGGAAATTAAAGATAAACATCTTGAACATAGAATGGATAAAGGAGTCTTTGTACTTTATAATAACATACCCTGCTACAAGGATGAAAAGAAAAGTGTGAGAAAGAAAGAGAGAGCAAGAATATGTGACAGGACGAGGGAAGGGGGTAATATACTGTTAAGATTAAACACCCTGCGCTCAGCGCTCAGGGAATTTCAATATGGGCCTTACACGACACCCTGTCCCTATATTATATTTTCGCTGGATTACATTTCTCACTTTAAACATATTAGGCTATTTCATTCAAAATTATTTTGCTCCCGTAATCATCATGTCTTTGAAAAAATATAAGTTAGATGTAATAAAAAAATATACCGACTGGTTATATAAGCTATAATAATAAATGTATGATGTAAAACTTTTAAAGTTTGACTAGTATAAATGCTGTATGAAATTTCTTACTATACATTCATTACCCATAGAGCTTCCAACTTAAAAATCTTCACCAGGTTTTATAAAGATTGAGTATGAACCTATAAAAAATTCTTGAATACCTACAACAAATTAAAAAAAAATATATCCACACCATTGGTCTATTATAGAGTTGAACACATTTTCTGTTATGAATGAACCACCAAATCGTGAAGGTACCAACTTTTGCAAAAAATACTATTCAATTTTTTTGAATATATGTTAGATATAGTAAAGTAAAAAGCTATTAAAATGTAAATAAAGATAAGTTAGTCCATGTCTCTCATATCTCAAGGGAAAAGAGAATTTCCTCCGTTACACACAAATCTCTCACAAAGCAATGCAATATGCAGACTCAAAAATAAACAGACATGAGACTTTAAAACCAGTTTAATATTTTACATTAGAATGAGTAGCTTACAACAAAATACTAAATTCTAAGAGGCACCAAAAACATCGCAACTTGTAAAACAAACCAAGTGTGTTCAACTAAAATGCATAAACTATGAACAAAACAGTTGACAAACCTCATAATAGTAATTACAACGATTCAAAGCCCAAAATAACATTAGATGGGAAGTTATTAGCTAAGCAGAGGAAGAACAAGATTACTGAGAGAGCTAAACAACAATTAGCTTTACAAAAGCTAATCCTTTAATGTATACAACTCTGTTGTCTGGAGTTCATTTAAACATTTAAACTCCCACTGAGGACATGTTTAAAGTCACTGTCATGGAACAAAACTACTTTTTAATTAACTTACATTTCACAAAGGTCAATGTAAAATGTTCACTTTTGTTTTCTGGACACTCGAAGTTTCAAAATCAAATCAAATTAAAATAAACGGTATCAGCATTCTGACACACTGACACATACTTTCTCCCGTAAGTTTGTCAACAACCTTTATCATGTGTAAGCGGTGAGAGTAAATATACGGAAATGGGATTAGTACAATTTTGATCAGAATTTAAAGGACTATAACATACTAAATTTGTATCAAAATCTTTAGGGACATTTTTGTAAAAATCCGATTTTTCCGTCATTTTATGGGGTTTTTATGGGAAAATAACATAATTTACAATAACTTTTGGACCGTAATTTTTACAGAAATGGGATTTGCACCATTTTGTTCAGAATTTAAAGGGCTACAACATACTAAATTTCCGATTTTTCCGGTTTTTTATGGGTTTTTATGGGAAAATCCCCATTAAACATCAAAATTTCAAAAAAATGAAAAAAAACACCTGGAGATACAATAGATTAGAACCTACATACCAAATTTCATCGAAATCGGTCCACAGGTGTAGTCCCTAGCTCTGCACACATCCAGACACACACACACACACACACACACGCACACACACACACACATCACTTCGAAAACCACTTTTTTGGGTCCAGCGGGACCCAAAACGAATATATCCACTCAAAACTCAAACTCGAAAATTTTGACGAAAACAATACTTTCTCCATATACTATGGTATAGGGGGAGAAAGTAAAATGTATATATTAAAAATACCCCCGCCGCAGCAAACCTGCCGACTAAGCGAATTTCCATTTGTCTGAATTGATTTTCAGTTAAATATATTTTAATAACATTAGGTTTAACTAGTACCTAGGTTTGCTGCTACAAGGAAACTAATTAAGTGTGTTTTGAGTAAAATATTGATAGCTTAGTACAAAATAAATAAATTTGCCAAGTTTGATCAAAATATGTCCATAACCAAGCAAACTACAACATTTGACAATATTCTCCATAAGAATAACATGGGAATTTTAAATTTACAATTTTTTTAATTTCCTCCGTTAATAATAATCGAACAAAAATACTTTTATATACTAAATTATTTGTTTTTTTTTAAGCTCTTTAAAAATGTCTAAAGAGAAATTGGGAAATTTTGTGTTTTGAGGGTCAAAGGTGAGAAAAACCAATTTTTACCCCATAAAACCCCCTGTAAAGCCCCGTTCCCATTGTCCGATCATGCTGGTTCGCGAACTCATTCAAGTTTATCCCGCTTTACACCTTTAAACCAAATTTCATCAAAATCAGACAAAAATTACTCAAGTTATCGCGTTCACGGACGTATATATATATATATTATATCATATAAAAATATGAACGAATGGTGTTTTTGGCCTCTGGGGACATCAAAATGAAAAAGTAAATCAGTCCCGGGTCTAGGTCTTACCGTGCCACCTACGGTAATAGCTACTTCCCTATAGGGAAATTCGCTAAAACTGTAATATATAATGAGTGATGGGATCATTTGATTTTTATTTCCTGTATTATATTTGTGGCATACCTATGGAAGATTTAGAACTTACTGACTACTGCCGACATTTCCCATCACGATTAGTAAGAAAAGGTTTCACGACAGTTCGGGATCTGGAATTTGATATATATTTATACAGGATACATAGGTACACAGTTAGAACTAAACAAAATAATCTATACTATTATAAAAAAGAGGTGGTGTCTGTGTGTATGGGAAAAGTAAACGCGAAAACTACTGGTCGGATCGGGCTGAAATTCGGCATGATGATAGCTCATATTCCCGATTAACATATAGGCATATTTTTATCCCAAAAATCCTTCCGGGCTCCGCCCCAGTGGCTCTGGAGCAAAGGTTCCCATGTTAACCTTATGAGAAATGGAATTAATGAATCTTAACAGCTGTTTCAATTAAACAAGTTGGTTCTGTTCTATGATTTTCAATAGCATTAAAGTTACAAGGATTACCAACAGGGTGCAGCACTAGCATTATTTCTTTTACATTTATGACAACAGCTAATTTGCAACCAAAAGGTGAGTGAGCGTAGCGAACGAACTTCAACCTGGAGGCGAGTGAGCGTAGCGAACGAGCTAACCTGAAGGCAAGTGAGCGTAGCGAACGAGCTAACCTGAAGGAAAGTGAGCGCAGCGAACGAGCTCCAACCTAAAGGTGAGTGAGCGTAGCGAACAAACTTCAAAAAGAACCAAAATTTCTTAAACCATGTCCTCACTCATAACTGCTATAAGCATTTGATACTTATATGCCAACCCCGTACGAAGGACGGGTACTCTGCTAGTAAACGAATAAATAAACAACCAAATAAAAAAAAAACTATACAGTTATTAAAAACACATGCATTGCATACAGCCTATTTTCCTATTAAAAGTTTAACTTAATTTTATGAACTGAATCAAATCCATTTTGTTATAGGAAATTTAACAATAAACAGAATAATCAAACTGCAACATCACTCGCAACCACGTTGGGGCAGAGAATAATCAGAAGCTCTTCAACATTCTCTTTAACGTTGCCCAGGCTTGTATGTGTTTGAGTCCTCATATACAGCCACTGCAGTGTAGAATCATTTACTCTACCTGACTTTCATGTTCTGTTTTATACATCCCATACCTTACGGCCAGTCTTACTTTTAGACTCTAGACACTTTGTCTAGTTTTAAGATTTTAAGAGAAAATTGTGTTATTTTTTTTTAGAAGAAACTTAAATATCTTTAAAGAGGAATGGGAAAAACTAATAAAAACATTTGAATGTGAATGACAAGCCTAAAATGTTTTTTATATAATAAAAAATAGACTTTAAATCATCAAAATACAAAAATATTGAAAAAAAATTGTATTATCCATGAAACAGAGAAGGAATGGGCTCATAAATAATGTACTATTTACTTTTGAACCCACTGAATATTTACTGATTGAAACAATAATGTATTTAAAAAAATGTATATATAGCCATTTTATTATAAAGCTCACCTTCAAATTTGTGAGTTGCTGATTCAATTCCAAGCAAGATCAATAAATTTCTGGATTTAAAAGCATTTTTTCATTTGAGCCATCAATTAATCTATCCACCAAAAAATTGATTTTAGATAGGAACAAAACCACATTCTGGACTATTCCCTTTCCAAAAAACTTTTAAAAGTCCCAATAGATTAACAAACAAAAATAAACAACCTTGTACCTAATAATTGAGTAAGTAGGCCTACATTATAACAGAAACTCAAATACAACCGGTGTAGTAAACCTTTTCTAGAATGTGATGAGCATTTTCCATCAGAGTAATGCACGTTGGTAAATTCCAATAAAGTTGCACTTTACGTCCCACGGGATTGCACACTAAGGTTCTCTTTGCAGTGACAGCAGCAAGGCATATATTATCCTGTGCACTAACATATTCTCTTGTTTAACTTCAAACATTGTCTCTTGAGCCTCCAATGTCAAAGAGGATGTTTGAATTTGTAATATTGACTTTGGGTTCCTTCATTCATTGACACAGACTTCCCTAGTGATGTTTATGATTCCATCTCTATTAAAATGGATTGTCATACAAAATACATGACGAAAACTACAAACATTTTTGGAAACCCATGACTACTTCGAAAGATACAGTTAGAACAAAACTATTCATCAGTAGGTATCATTTGTAAAGATATACAGGGTGGTAAAAAAGTCCCAGGACAGTTAAATATTTTAAAAAATAATGCAGATAGAGCTACAATACTTGGTACAAAGTTACAGGGCATAAAACTCTATTTTAAAACATATTCAGTGATCCAATAACTCTTCAGGGGGACGGCCCACAAGGAGTCGGAAGAAAATCTTAAATGGAAGCATAGGTCAATATGCACATCAAATTAAAGGTCTTCACTAGTAGATTACGATGCCGTAAATTCAAGCTCAAAAGAATCCCTGAGTAAAAAATGGCAGTCGTTCAAAGATTCAAAATGGCGGATTCAAGAAATCTTTGAACATCTGCCATTTTGCGCAGGATGAACCTTTTGAAGTGCGGTTTGCGGCATTGTATTCTACTAAAAAAGACCTTTAATTTGATGTGCAAATTGACCTATGCTTCTATTTAAGATTTTCTTCCGACTCCTTGTGGGCCGTCCCCCTGAAGAGTTATTGGGATCACTGAATATGTATTAAAATAGAGTTTTATGCCTTGTAACTTTTTACCAAGTATTGTAGCTCTATCTACATTATTTTTTAAAATATTTAACTGTCCTGGGCTTTTTTTACCACCCTGTATTATGATATTAATTATAGAAAGTGTTAAGAAACAATTTCAATAAACTACATCAGCAATCTGATACATACTTTCTTCCATTAGCTTGTTAACATCATGGGTAAGCTGTGGGAGTAACCATTTTAAGAAATTGAAGATTCTTCACTAGATTAATTTAAGAGCTTTTCTTACATTTCATATTCACTATTTGAAAATGAATTGGCTATATATGATTTTTGGGGGGTGATTGATTTTATAGAGATAAAAATTCAGTCATAGTATAAAATGTCAAGAGATACATCCTTAAACTATAGTTCGGCTGCTTAGAAAACGACCTGCACGCTAATGCTAAACCAAACCACTTTAAAATATATAAATGCTAGAGGAGGTCGCTTTCTAAGCGGCCGAACTATAGCTACAACTTTTACATTGATTGACAATGAAATATGACTATCAATAATCAATAGTAAATCTAAGTGGTACGCTATTCATAGTGATTTCATTGGCTAAATAAAATGCATAAAATGTCTAACCCAGGAAAATTTGGATTTTTTTTACCGTTGTGAACAAATATTTTTAATGCCAGGTTCTTACCTTGTTGCTGCTACAATACTCCACTCACAAAATTTAGGCGATTTTAGGGGAAGAAATAAAAAAAGTAGAGGGGGAACTTCCCTTCAAACAGCCTATGTTTTGTGAACGGAGTATATTTTATAATAAATAGCTTTTAGACTGTCACATAATTAATATTACTTGACCCCTCCTTATTGGCTGTGAAGATGAAGAGGGTAATATCGGAGTCAAGAGGGTGTCTTGAGAGCTGACAGGGGTGGAGAGAGAGGGGGGGGGTGTGATTATATTACAGTGTACAGCAGACAATGTAGTGGCAATATGTGATTAGGGTCGCACCTGAGCCCTGTCTTGTTATTACATGTAAATTAGGCTGTCATTGAACAGCTGATTGTTGTCAAGAGGGTGTCTTGAGAGCTGACAGTGGTGTAGAGGGGGGGGGTCTGATTATATTACAGTGTTCAACAGACAATGTAGTGGCAATATGTGATTAGGGCCGCACCTGAGCCCTGTCTTGTTATTACATGTAAATTAGGCTGTCATTGTACAGCTGATTGTTGTTGAATTACCTACAGAAAGGAATCAGTTTAGCATTAAGAAATTAAGTAAAACCATTGACTATTGGATACAGAAGAAGACATCCCATCTCCCATCTATATGGATCAGCTGTCGCCAATTTTTTACTAAAATAGAACGTAGTTGTGTGAGCCAGTCACAGATTGCGCTAGTGTCTAAAACTCTGTACCTTATTTTTTGTTACTGACATAGTTGCTGGGTCACAACAGTTGCTATAGCTCATTAAGTCATTCCATCAGTTTGACTTGGTAAAAACCATCGTGTAATCGGCATAAATCAGTAATTTAGATCAGCGCAATCTGTAGGTGGCTCACATCAACTAAGACAAATTTGATTAAAAACCTGACTACAACTTTAACATGGGGATGGAATGTCTAGTTAAAACATACATCCTTTAGAGATTGGATATCTTTATGAATCAGATGTGAGTTGACTTTTGTTTTTACTGTATTTATTTTTATTTTACCATCTTCAAAACGTCAAAGAATTAATAATACCCTCATCGCAGCAAACCAGCAGACTAAGCCTTTCATTTGCTTAATTTAGAAATTTGAAATTGGCAAAATTTGAAATTTCTCTGTTACAATAACCGTACAAAAATACAAATAAATTATTTGGTTTTAAGTCCACAAAATAGTTTAGAGATGCATTGGGACCAATTTGTACCCTGTAACCCCTGATCATGCTGGTTCACAAACTCGTTCAAATAATAATGAAGGTTTACACGATTGTACAAAATTTAATTTAAATAGGACCATTTTTACCTGAATTATCGTGCAAACGGACACGTATATAAAAATATGAATTTGAACGGATAGTGATTTTTGGACTCTGGGGATATTAAAATGAAAAAGTAAATCAGTATCGGGTCCAAGTCTTACCATGAGATCTACGGTAATAGCTTATTCCGTGTGTGGGAAACTGGTTAAAACTATAAATTTGTCAATTATTGCCTGCCCCGGGTATTACAACTAAAGACCAAAGAGGGAACTGTAACATTAGGCTTAAAATTAGAAAAATGTTTTTCTACATCAACGCACACACAATGACAACAGGCTATGAAAACTATGCCGAAACAAGTTCCTATTCTTTAATTGAATGTATACTACGTTTTGGAAAAACATTTTGGGGGACCTGTTTTCCAAATAATCTGTGGGAAAGGGCAGTACTGCTTCAAAAATGAAAAACAATAATGCCATCTTCAGAGAAGTCATATTTTATCACTGTAAGTATTCCACCTTCTTCAGGAATAAAGTGTACATACATGAAATTTCAAATCAAACGATACTATTCTGTTTGAAAATCAACGTACTATTTGAGACAAACCAACCTGTGGGCCGTTTTCATCGTAGTCTCGATGCAGGCGTGACGTGGGTCCACGGCCACTCTTGAGCGAGTTTGAACGTGCTCTATCATCAATCAGGAAGATTTCTGTGAGCACGATTGCACTGAAGACTGCGAAGAAGATGACCACAATGAAGAAGCTCAAATTTGCTCTATCTCGCGCGATAGATTTTCGGAACGATCGGCCCATTTCTCACATCTGCGAACAAAAAAGATCACTTCACACCTTGTATTAAAAACTTGTGAAACGAATATATAGAGTTGAATCAAACATAAAAAGTTTCTATATCATTCAAATTGGTCATCTCAATACATATTAAAAGTAGGACAATGCTTTTCTTGGACAAATTCTAAGGAAACTCTATAAACTAAACTATGTTAACTAAAAGAATTTTTGATCAAGAATTTAGACCGATCGTCTAAAATTACAATTTTCCCAAGATTTTTACAATCATAAATTCCATAGAAAATTCCATACAGTTACATACATCCCTGTTGTAATTAAAGAAGTGACGAATTTTGAAAAGACCAAGAGTACAAAACCAACGACATTTAAAATATGATTGCACAGATGAAAGCTGAAAGCCCAAGACATTTAAATGCTAACTGAGAAACTGTAATTTTCCGCCTCTTACGCCTTCCCTCTTGTTATTTGGCAACTCGCATCGTTGTGGCTTCTTCATTTGTTTGGCAGAGTGTTGATGTTGCTTCAAACTCTATGATTTTATGTTTTTATAAGTATAAATGGTTTGGATAATTAACAAAAAAAATACAAATAATAATACAATTATAAACCTCTGGCGTAATGGGGTATTTATAAAAAGAGAATCAGCAGAGAATACGTGTTGCTGGTCCATTTGTACCCAATGATTATAGACAGCTGGGTTTTGAGGTGTAATTTGAAATTGATAAAAAAAACATCCAAAGATATTTTTTTAAACTACAGGGTAGCATTATTTTCTTAGGAAGCATGCTAAATTCTTTGAATGCATATTAGGCCTACTTTCTAAATAGTTTTGTTCTAAACTGAAATGCATGATTTACCAACTAAATAAATTTAAAGCAATATTAATTAGATTATATATATACAAATTAGTTTAAAATCTTTTGGGGTTTAAACAAATTTGTAAATTTTCTGACCACTCTTAAATAAATATCCAATATTAATAGGAAAGCATCTTATATTAAAAAACTTTTGCAAAACATTTTTGACAGCTAGCCTGACCATACTACTGAACCGAATTGCACACGGTTGGTACCAAATTAAAGATGTTTTCCTGTGGATGTGCAGAATCCCTTTATAAATTAAAATATGATCAAAAATATGTATAAAAATTAATTTAAAATAAAAAAATGAGCATAGGCCTTATGGGTTGCCATGCTGGTGACAAAACAACAACAAAATATAAACAGAAAATCAAAACCACATGAATAAATTCCAATCGAATGTTTTATTTTTACTGGACAACGTGGGGTAAAAATAGAGAAGTCTGTAAATTACATAATATTTTTTGTCAAGTTTTCGCCGACTGGCGACCTCTAGTATATATTACATGAATAATCCCAAAAATATAAAAAGTAAACCCATGCTAATATAAGTTTAGAAATAAAATTAACTGTAAATTACTTGAATTATTTTCCATTTAAGGTTTTTAATATGACGAGGGGTGGGGACCTTTGCTCTTTGATTTGATCAATATAGCCTAAGATGAAGTTGGTAAATTGCTGCAATTCTTTTTGTTATTTTGAAAGATACGCCAAACTAAAACTTCATTGGTCTAAAAATCTTTCAAAAATAGTCAAAATTCAAAAATAGTCTAAATATGCATTTTCTGTTGTAGAAATTAAAATTAATTTTATAATAGTGGCCACCAATCTACTGATAAAATACAGAAGCCAATATTACATATTAATCAAAAAAATTTACTTTATACAACACTCAATAATTATGTGCAGAGAAATAATTTAATCTCAATGAAAATGTCTGCTCAATTATTAATAACATCTCAATTTGTTGTTTAGGGTGAAGTTTTCAGGTATTTATGCACAAGCTAAAAAAATGTATACATTTTCAAAAATGTCAAATCAGTCCAAGTATTTGATTTGGTTGCAATACTTTTCAAATAGGCTAACTGATAACTTTTACACTTCTAGAAAGAACGAACGACCCCTCTCAAGTAGAAGGCAATAATATGACCTAATGTATTGTTGTCCAAAGTTAAGTTTTCTACATTTTTGTAATTGGGTTTCCAGCTATAATACGTCCAGATTTATTACTTACATTTAAACATGTTTCAGACTATTAAAAAACACAAATTGAATATTTCCATGTATGTTATAATTACTCGTAGCATATTACTTATTAGTATTACACAATATTTTAGTTATCGCACCAATACTACAAAACGTTTCAATACTCTCTGTAAAACACCTCTCCTGATGAAATTCAATCATGCTAGTAAAAAAAACAGCAGTAAAAAACTTCCAATATAAATGCAGATAAATTTCAAAGCGTTTAAGAGCCTTTGAACAGGCAGTGATTGAAAATTCGACCCTTTGTAAAAGGACCTTTGACACACTGTTCTTCTTTGCCGGTTTTACTAAAGGATCACCTCTATTTGGCCACTGTTCAGTTTTCATGAGTAAAATATGAGCAATTTAGTACAATACCGATAAAAATGAAATGGAACTTGTAGTACTGTACTTATCTCATATTACTTGAAAGCTCAATATAATTGTTGTACAGTCCTAATAGTGTTTTATATATTTTTCAATAATCCAGGATTAGAGTTTAAATGGCTTTATTTTTTTACAAATTTCCAATTTATATAATATGCTTTAGTTTACCCTTATTTATAGATATATTTTTATCAATTTCAGCATATTTATTTCATAGTGTATGATACAATTGATGTTTAAAAAAAAAACGTATTATCCTTCCATGTAGCTGCAAACCTAAGTACTCGTTAAATTGAATGTTATTTAATTGAGAAATAAATGTGACAAGTTTAAGGAAGTATTTTAGTCAAAATAAAATCTAGTCAGACAAATGGAAATTCGCTTAGTCTGCAGGTTTGATGCGGCGGGGTATTATTACGTTACGATGTGTAGTAGGTATGTCGTTAAATTATGAGTTAGGCCTATGTGACGTCCAAATGAGCTTTATACAATGTTCAGTCTTAAAATTAATGGTGATGCTGAATGAGTTTAGTTGAAATTCTTTGAATCAAAGAATTTTCCTTTGATTTTAGAAGTAAGAACTTAGAAATTTTGATATTAGTTCATGGAGATCAGCCAAGCTAATTTATGAACTGTCAAAAGTGCCTCAAACTTTTTCAGAATCAAAAGGTGAAATCCCATATTAGGACCATTAAATTAGTTAGATTAGGTTGTTGTAAACGTAGCAAGTTAATTTGATTGTTCTATTTATCAAATGAGGAAAAACATGAAAAATAAGTAAAATCACAAAACAATCCTGTAGTTTTAACACTGATCTTCAATAAAAAAGTACTTTCCAAAACAATGGGTAATATCCATGTTTCACAATCTACAGCCCAAACTCCTATATTAAATATTTGATTTGCAAACAAGTTCGCATACCTCTTGTTCAAACAGGATGGAATGAAAATATTCATTTCACTAGAACAAAGGAGTAGTAATAAGAGATTCAATTATGTATTGTTCCGTTGAAATATTGGGAAGCATTCAGAGCCTTTTGTGTTTAGGCCATTCTTTCTGTCAGTGATCTATGGGATTGTTCAAAAAATTCAAATTGTGTCTTTATTTGGATGTTTTTCATCCTGCATCATTTTACGCTGTATATGAATTTTAGAATTTTAATAGTATATTTCGTACCTAGGGCCGAAAACTAACTTCGTCTCGAACTTAAAACCCATCTCGAGCCGGCAAAACCATTTCGGTCCGTGGTACGAACACTATTTTTCACCACACTATACCACTATTACCACTAATAGTGCACACTGTCATCACAATAACAACTTTAAGGTTATTATGTGAAGAACGGAAAGTAAATAAAGAAACGTCTTGTAACACTGAAAATATATATATTTACGCTTATAATGTTACTCACAAGACGGTAAATATACAAAAAAGGTGGTAAGTGGTGATCGATTTCGATTGGACACTCCAATCATCATCAGACCCAGACCCAATAGGCGAATGTATATTCACTCAATCAATCAAACTGGTGACTAAGGTACAGGAGTAATATTCCTTACCCTGTGGTATTAGATTAAAAAAGACGTGCATCCAACTTATTAATCTTAACATGTTTAAGACCAGAGCATATCAAACATGTGTGGATGGTTAAGACTTAAAATTCAAGTTCAAACTATGGTATTTTTTATTTATTGGTATTTAAATTAATTTGATAAAACAGTAGCTATTGCCTTTTGGCTGAGTTTTTCCTCGAGTAGAAGGCAACAATAAGGTAATAACAACTTTTAATTATCACGTTTTGAATCTGGAATAAAAAATAATATTAAACTAACTGTACACACTATTCTAAAATTTTCTTTTTCTAAGAAAACGCAGGAAACCTATGGAGGTCTTGGAAAAACCTAAGAAGGTTTTTCCAGGACGTGATTGAGCCATGCGAACGAGCTCACTTACGAAGTTAAACGGGGCAAAGCCTGCGGGTACAGCTAGTCTACTATAAAAAGTATACTATAAAAATATACTAAAAAAATAATATACTATAAGATTACATCAAGTGTTTTCCTACACTACTGAAGCAGAAAATCTGTACCCATTAAAACGCCGTCACACAAATCCAATACCACAAACCAAACTCTAAAACCCACCACAATCCCCAGTGGTTTCAAGCAAACTTTTATTTCATACAATTTACACTGGAAAATGCAATACAATATTAATATTCAATCTAAATATATGTCTATGATTATTATCGACACTTAGTTTCATTTGTTAAACATACTTAAGGGGTGTAAAATCTCAAACTACCAATAACAGTAAAAAAATTTCATTACAAAATATTCTACATCACTAATTATGTAAAAAAAAAACTACCAACAAGTTTCTGTTTTGTTAAAATTATTCAATAAAATTACATCCCAGAAACCATTGGTGAATTGACAAATAACAGCATGTATTGCTAAATAAAAAACAGATTTGTCGAGTGTCTAAGTGAAAAATGTGTCTAAATAATGCAATAGTTTT